TTCTGGTACCAGGAATTGAACTCAGGACCTCACACTTGCCAGGCAGGTGCTGTGCCACTGATGTATGTCCCCAGCCATAAAACCTACTTTATTCACAAATTCTATTTTATGTAGTTTGAAGTTTGCTGTTGTTGGAGAAGAAAAAAGATTTCTATCAGAAGAGATCTAAAGAGGAAATTAGTATAATGTGACTTCTCTGATATAAGGAACTTCTTCTCAAGTAATCATTAGTCTCCTAGGGGGCAAAAAGGAAAAAAAAACTGTAGTGGACTCATTGAGGTATAATTTAAAACAGGTGACTGTCCATAGCTGATCTTCCCATTGGTTTTGCATCACATCATTTCTCGCATGTGAATGTTAACAGGAACGTGTGTGTACTTGCAGTAGACAATGCTAAGTAGTTCAGGCTAGTTTGAACTCATTATGTATGCCAAACTTCCTTGAACTCTCAACAATCCTCCTGCCTCGGTCTCTCAAGTGCTGGATTACAGGCATGTACTACCACACACTTGGCTGTGGAAGTTTTTTTGTTTTTTTTTTTTCGGAACCAGGGATTGAACTCAAGCCCTTGCGCTTGCCAGGGAAGCACTTATTCCACTGAACCATCTCCCCGGCCCCCTGAAGTGGGATTTTTACTAATATCTGTATACATTAATTTAGAAAGAAATAGAGAATCTTATGGAGAAAAAAGGCATTGAACTAGTAATCTAGAGCTCAGTGATCTGTTCTTGGTTTCCTTAACTAGATAATGATCTTAAGATTGGACCAAAAAGTTTTCTGAGTCTGAATATAGTCATGTATTGCTGTATAATAACCTACTTCAAGATTTAGTCCTTTAAAATAGGAAGTTATTGTGATTCTGTGGGCTGACTGGGGAGTTCCACATAAAGTGAAGTTAGTCAGAGTACTAAAATAGCAAGAAGGTTAAAGAAGCCCTCATTAACATGGTTCAGGGCTGGGGAAATGGCTCAGTGGAATAAGGGCTTCCCTAGCAAGTGCAAGGGTCTGAGTTCAATCCCTGGATCCATCAAAAAAAAAAAAAAATCATTCTGGAAATCAGTGTGGAGACTCCTTAGAAAACTAGGACTGGAACTCCCACTCAAGCCTGCTATCCCCCTACTGGGAATTTTCCTGGAGGAACTGAAAGTGTCATATCATAGTGATATATGCATACCTATGTTTATAGCAGCACAATTTGTGATAGCCAGATCTTGGAAACAACCAAGATGCCCATCACATGTAGA